AGGCAGAGACTGCTAGGGTAATGAGATGCAAATGAGCTACTCCCCAATCTGGCTCTGGTTGTCACAAAGGGACACTTTTCAATCCACACCATCCCCAACAACCCCCCTCCCCAAGAAAAGAAGAAAAAAATCGGCAAATGGTCACTGAGCTGTAAAATGTGCAACTCTTTGCCACTGGGAGAGAGATAGAATGTGTGTGTGTGTGTGTGTGTGTGTGAGAGAGAGAGAGAGAGAGAGAGAGAGTAAAAAAAAAATAATTTACATACAGGAAAATAAGCAACCTTGAGAATCCTGTACATCCCACTCTGACCTAAAACCACAAATTACATCACACATTGCAGGAATGTCGCATTCCTGATAACGGGACAAATAATAGCCTACAGCGGGGTTTATGTTGTGCTAATCTTTTCTATTTTTTCTATTTGTTTAGTTTGTTTAAAAGGTCGTTGTAATGTTCTTCACGGTAAAAAAAAAAAAAAACGAAAAAAAAAAACTTTGTATCTTGTCCAATCACCTTAGATAATTAATGTCAGATAACATAAAGGCCTATTTTGAGTTTATATCTCAATGAACTCAAATTTTTAAGGCAACCAGCCCAGGTCACTTACCTTTTAAAGTTAAACCAAAAAGTATTACATTTGAGCTAGTGACCTAGTAAAAGGTTTGTTATTGTAAAACATAATAACAACAAGATATCAAACCATCATTCTTTTCAATTTTTACTAATTTTTACTTTTTTTTCAGTTAACCTTAATAAATCCATAAATTAAAGCAATATATGGCTAATTGTATACCGTGGCATTTTATGACAATATTTTTATCAATTAGGCTCCTATCCTCGCATATTCAGGTCATGCATAGAGAACATATTTATTCCTATGAACCTTCTTTGCTTTTTTTAACAACACATCTTTCGTTTCAGTGGTTTAAGTTTTGGTGACTATAAGTTCGAGTTTCCATCTGGATTGTAAACGCTGAACTGGTGTGTGTCGCTCGCGTGGCTGTCATTAAGGCACTTTGTTATTGTGTGTGAGGGGAGAATAAGTTCTCTCTCGCTCGCTCTCTCTCTCGCTCTCTCTCTCTCTCTCTCTCTCTCTCTCTCTCTCTCTCTCTCTCTGTGCTCTCAGCTGTATGGTAATTCACACAGCACCTGCTCCTCTCACAATGAGAATGAGTTCCCCTCTCTACACGTCATCCCTCACAAAAGTACCTAGCTTCTGTTGTTTTGGTGTTTTATCAATTATTTTGCGTTTAATTTGACGAGGAAGTTTCCAATACGTCTTTTTAATCGTTCGTATTGTTAAATAAGTCGCGCTCGCGCTCTTTTCGCTCTGTCTCGTGAGCGTTTGTGTGTGTTTGTGTGTGTGAGGGTGGTCTTCATTAGTGCGTTAATTAAAAGCGCTCGCGGTTTTCAAATCCAGAGGAATGCAACAATACGTGCACAATTACGCGTTGTAGGGAGCCCACCGAAGAAAATAATTCAGTCCTATTCGAAGCATGCGTTATTGTTTAATCGAACGCGTTTGCTGATGCGATGGGATGTTATCGCGCGACAGGTGTCATTGCATCACACACTCCGGAGAGTTATTGAACCGCTGGCCGTAAATAAGAGCGGAACCGTGTCACGCAGCTATCATCACACTATTCTTTGCCCTGACGTTGCACACATTTCCCGATTAGCCCAGCAAAGCGTCCCTGAAAAGCATGCTGAAAACCCTCAGATTTATGCCCACTTCGCTTATTCTTTTCAAGCATAATTTATGCCACGCGATTCTGTCCTGGTTAAATCAAGCAGAAAGCTCCTTTCTCGCATTCCTCCTCTTTTCTGAAGGTGGACTATGGGGAGACTGTTTAACTTAAGTGTTTCTATAGGGGGCTGTTGTACTTTAACTCCTGCCCACCAGTAGTTGCGGCAAACAAAGCCGGGACTCGAGCTCTGACTCTTCATCTTTCTTTGCGCTTTAATTTTCATTGATTCTGAATACAAGGGGAGCCCTCGGGGACTCTCTCTGAAGACGCGGACAGCCCCCCTCCCCAAGCCAACCATCTGCTACCAACCAAATGGCGTTTTTTCACATCACAACTGCATGTCTCCACTGCCTCTCTGGGCAGTGCGCGCGCACGCGGGCTTCCTCCGAACGAGACTGGAAGCATGTAAAGAAGCAGAAGCACATGAATGCCGCTGATGGGCCATATGGTTAGGGAAGCTTCTGGAAGTGGCCGTGGGAACACAGAGTAACGGCGTGTGGGAGAGTGTCTGCGAATCGGCGCAGATCCGTCAAAAATTAAGTAGAGCGCAAATGTTTGATTTTCTCTCTCTCTCTCTCTCTGAATGAGACGGCGCAGTCCTATGTGAAAGTGTTGTGGCATCAAGCATGTGAATACGTTTTAACATTATTTTGTGTTCAGGAAAAAGACAATACAATATATTGATGATAGTAGATCCCCCATCGTGACGCAGAAAGGACTCGCGCTGATTAAAATAACAAAGGATGTGTCGCGTGCATGGCTCGGGTGGCGCGCTCATTATGAAAAAAACAAAACAATAAAACGCATTGTGAATCAACTCCATCCGGTCTAGGAAGTTACTTTTTCTTTTTAATCACTTGAATCAAATGCTATTTTGAGGAAATGCTGCGAGAGAGAGAGAGAGAGAGAGAGAGAGAGAGAGAGAGAGAGAGAGAGAGAGAGAGAGAGAGAGAGAGAGAGAGAGAGAGAGAGGTGAATTCTTCAACAGACTCGAGGACTGTCGCGTGCCGTCGTCCTTTAGGGAACATCTGCCCCTTTCCCTGGGGTGGTTTTGTTTATGTGAGAAACTTTGGTTCAAAGAGGAAGAAAAATCAATAGTTCACCCGAAAGAGAATAACTTGTGCCGCTCATCTAAGCTACATTGAATTTCTGCGTCTGTCAAATGTTAGGGCTAATACACATCTGCTGTTTCTATGCAGGTATAATTAATAGCTGAAGAGTTGAGTGGAAAAAATCTAAACATAAATACAGGTTTATCATCAATGTCATTCTAGTTAATTTTTCCCTCTCTAATCAGCTTGTGAAACTCATAAAACTCATAAAAGTAGGATTGACATATTGGATAGGTCCGCATGCCCCAATTTAGCGCTAAGTTTTATATAATGGGGAAGATGATTCCCAAGAACAAAGAACAATCTTTTCAATTGTAACAATAGATATAAGTTTAGCATGCATGTGGAGGATGATGATGATGATGCATAATCCAATCTCTTATTATCTGAAATAAATGGGACACAATTGGCTAATTTTGTTGTTAGCACAAAATGTGACCCCACCCCCCAACCCATAAAGACCTTTGACATAATAATATTACTATTTATACATTTAGTCAATGTGTCTGTACTGTAAAATATTATGAATAAGTTTTGGCACCCATGCTAAAGTTGCCTAAAAAGAGGAATAAAAACTCATCTTTTGGATATTGATCTTAATGCCTTAATTAGAAAAAATGAGGAAAACTCCAACCTTTAAGGACACCAATTTTCTTTGTGAATGAATACTGTATCATAAATAAATAAATGTTTTTCCTTAAAATACAGGGTGCATTAAATTCCCATAGAGTCAGGCAGATTTTTATTTTTAAAAGCCAGTTATTTCATGGATCCAGGATAATATGCATCCTAATAAAGTTCCCATTCCTTTGGAATTAAAATATCCCCACATCATCACACACCTTCCACCACACCTTGAGATTGGCATGGGGTACTTTCCATAAGATCATCTTTCAATGCAAATCAAACCAGCTGCTAACTAAAATAAAACCATGCCAATCTGTGTGGTGGAAGGTGTGTGATGATGTGGGGATATTTTAATTCCAAAGGAAAGGGAACTTTATCAGGATGCATATTATCCTGGATCCATGAAATAACTGGCTTTTAAAAATAAAAATCTGCCTGACTCTGGAATTTAACATAGGGGTGTCCTGACTTATGCACCCTGTATTTTAAGGAAAAACATTTATTTATTTATGATGCATTATTCATTCACAAAGAAAATTGGTGTCCTTAAAGGTTGGAGTTTTCCTCATTTTTCTAATTAAGGCATTAAGATCAATATCCAAAAGATGATTTTTTTATTCCTCTTTTAGGCAACTTTAGCATGGGTGCCAAAACGTATTCATAATATTTTACAGTACAGACACATTGACTAAATGTATAAATAGTAATATTATTATGTCAAAGGTCTTTATGGGTTGGGGGGTGGGGTCACATTTTGTGCTAACAAAAAAAAATAATGAACGTGAACATGTCTTAAATGTACATCTGGAAATAGCCTACTGAATAATAACCCCACTAATTATTAAATTAAAAAATATTACACTAGTAAGACACTTGGAGCCTTCTGTGACAATTCTCCACACATCTAAAAACATGAAGGTGTCCACAAAACCTTCATTAACAGATAGACAAAAAAGAAAAAAAATATATATATATATATATATATATATATATATATATATATATATACTGTATATATATATATATATATATATATATATATATATATATATATATATATTCAACATAATACACTGTCAAAGATCACTATTTTCCAGAGACACAAATTTAAATCAGTTGACCTCAAAAATTTCAGCTAAGATGAAATTTTGTGTCATCTTTGGTCAGGAGAAAAAAAATGAAGGTGGGGGCATTTTTCGCAATTTTTATCCTTTTTGTTATTCTTTAATAGTGTCCATTCATTTATGGCCTGCATATTTTTGTATTTAAAATATGTATTTTGCAAAAATTACAGGGGAAATAATGCCAACTAAATACGGGGAGAGATACTGGGTGTTTTTTTTTCATACAATATTAAGTCTTTACATAATAAACAGAATAACATTTCTTTATTAACAAACACAGTTCTCACATTTAAATGAAATAACGTTACCTTACTAATCTAGTTAGAAGATGTATTTGTCGATTTTGATTGGCTGCTGAGATCGGCGGAACAGGAAGTGAGCGCAACATTGTAAACAAACTCTCCAGTCGCTTCATGTAGCAGCCGTTCGTCAGAGAGCGTTCAACGCGAACTAACTAGTCAACTAGTCATATTATGCGTGACGCCCCAACGAATAGTGAGTCAGCTTTTGTTTCTTTAGCAGCATTGGGTTAAATATCTGTGACATTAAGTGACAAAATATACCAGTTGTCCATCTGGCAACGACGCAGCATTAATGGTGAAATTCCCAGCATTCACACACAGAGGTGGTCACAGTAAAGGGTTTCATTTTAAATGACCTGATGTTTCTCAGGAGCCAAAATGATTATAATGAGTAAAGAAAGAATATGAAAACCCATAAACTGTCTGCAGGTACTGATTGCCGAGACATCGAGCATATAATGTGTTGCCAATATTGGAAAATCAATGAATGAACGGTGTGAGACTACAGGATTGATTTTAGCATCGTCTACTTAATCGTCTCTAGTCTATTCAGACTAAAATCTTGTGTTGATAAAATGAACATATTATTTATTAAACGCATTCGCTATTTTAATTTTGAGGTACTAAATAGGAACTACTTAAAACGAGGGAACATATTTAAAAATCCTCTTAACCTCTCAGTAAAAATGTTGAACTCTCAGTAAAAAAAAATGATTTGGTGTCATAGTCATAGCTGGTGAAATATGCAAAGGACCCTCTGGATGAAGACATTTAATATATATTGAATAATGAATGAATAATTGAATATTAATAATTTCATAAATATCGACAGTCTGTAGTAATAAATCTAGAATCTAATGTCTCTATATTTAATGTTTAAAGTTTAATGTATAATCTATTGATTGACTTGAGATTTTACATTGTAATAAGAGAGAAAATCTAACGAAAGGGTGCATTAATGTTCATGTACGCATTTTTATGTTTCATTTTAGGCGCATGAACCTGCAGATGACCTTTTTGTGCAGCTGAACATGGGTGTCAAGGGATTGCAGTACTTCATGGAGACATGTTGCCCAGACACTTGTGTGCCAGTGGACCTGAAACAGATGGCATTGAATCATGCCAAAGCCCATCCGGACAGCGCCGCCACGCTAGTAGTGGATGGAATGGCCTGTTTACGATACTGGTATCGCTGTCAAGCTTGGGTTCATGGTGGTCAGTGGCAAGAGTATATGCATATCCTTCAAGAATTTGTCGATGCGTTCACGGCTGCGGGCATACGCTTAGTCTTTTTCTTCGACGGAACGGTCGAGGAGCAAAAGCGGGCAGAATGGGTGAAGAGGCGTCTGAGAGTCAACCAAGACATAGCAAGAATATTTCAGCACATTAAGACTCACGGTGTGCAGCCAAACAGCAGAGACCTTTTCTGCCTTCCCTCTGGACTCGCAACCTTCTCCAGATTTGCCCTCAAAAGCCTTGGTCAAGAAACAAGATGCTCGGTCCGAGAAGGAGATTACGAGATTTCCGACTATGCTTTGTCTCACGACTGCATGGGCATCCTTGGGCAAGATACAGACTTTGTCATCTACAACACAGCCCCGTACTTGTCCATTAGTAAGCTCAATTTAAACAACATGACAACAGTTCAGTTCTCCAGAGAGAGGTTATGCCAAGTTTTAAAGCTGCATATGACTGACCTTCCTCTCTTGTCCTGTCTGTTGGGTAATGACGTAGTGCCAGAGCATCAAACGCAGCGTCTTCGCAACAGCGCTTTGGCGTCATATCGAAAGAAACGCACGCAAGTTCAGGGAGACAAGGTCTACGCTGTTGCAGAGTTCATTACTGCTCATCATCCCAGCAGGGAGGAAACTCTGATGTTAGTTGAAGCAGAGGAAGAAGCTTTAAATAAGGGAATACGCATATATTTACTTCCAGGGCAAACGTCCCCTTGGTTAAAGTGCAGCCGTCCCTTTCCTGAGTCTGCTGTGTGTTCGATGGACAAGTATGTACCCAGTGAAATATTACAGGTAAGAAGGAAAAATGCAGAGTTTGAGACCATTATTGTAACATGCAAATAAACTTTTTTTTACTCTGATAATTTGGTTTGTATTCAAAAACATTAAAAATGGAGACCTTTGGGGACTCCCTTAAATATTGAACAAACACACCAGAAGTAACGTACCTATTGTTTCCATGTCGCAGGCAGCGGTGGAGAAGCACATGCGGGCAGAGTGTTTCCTGCTCTATAACGTGTTGTATGATGGAGTCGTGGACTGCAGTAACTCATTGGAGGATGAGGATGAGGTCGAGTTACCACCGCAGGCCGTCTTATATCTGCCTGTACGAGAACGCATCTATGGCCTGTTTCTACCAGTCCAGCCAGGTGTGTTTCGTCTCTGTATTTACTCCGATTTTATGGGAAATGTAGTGTTTTGTTTGGCTTTTCTGATTAAGTTGTATGCAACTGTGAAGAGGAAGCCAACTAAATTAAGAAGAGCATTTTTCAATAACATCATCTCATGATTTGTACTACGTGCCGAAGCTGAATACTATGTTCGGAAAGGAAATGATGGATTCTACGGAGCCCCTAAAGGGACATTGTGATGGAAAAAAATATATTTCAATGCTTTCGGGGTTCTCCCGCAATTTGCGGCATCATGGCCGCTATCAGTATACTATTGAAATCGCGCACTCTGTGTATAGGGAGCACATTTAACAAGTGTCCTTGCTCTGCCCCTTTTATCGAGGATGCATTATGGGAGGACAGTTGAACTTGAGTCAGACAGGTATCCCAGATTGAGTCTCGCACCACCAGCAAGCATCACTGGCCCAGGAGAAAACATATATAATTAAAAAATATATATATATATATTGCTAACGTGTCATAAAATGTATAGTTTTACAGGCGAGAATGTAGTTTCTCAATTTGAAAATGTGATCTGATGTGTGATCCAGGCAATAATCAGAGGATATATTCATCACATATTGCCTGAACCACATTATTATGTTTCAGATTTTTTAAAATGAAAACCAATAGAGGAAGGAGGTGTTTTATATCATATTTTGTTTTATTGTTAATATTCAGTGAGGATGACCGGTAGGGCTGGGTAATAAATATCGATTTCTCGATATTAATCGATTCTCATTTTTACGAACCGATATCGATTCTTAAATCTCAAGAATCGATTAGTCATCCTGTTTCATTTGAATGAATGGATCATTGTATCCCGGCTACGCGCATCCAAAAAATCTCAATAATCTTTGTCCTTTGTTACTATTAATATGAAATGAAGTCTCAATTTTCAAATTACGTCCATTTTCTTTAGAATTTCAAAAACATAAATAAGGTTTTGGCGCTGTGACGTGAGATCGCTCTGGCGCAGCTCGACAATACCTAAAAACAATACTGGGTTTGAAAAATAAGAAAGCTGCAAAATGTGTATCTATATGTAAACATTTTCACATTTTTGTTTAACTTAAGTTTGTCACTGCTTTGTTTGTCTTTTCTTGTTTTTTTAATTTAGTTTATTCATTGTACCCCTGACTGTAATTGTAATTCTTGAAATAAATAAAAAAAAAAAAAAAAAAAAAAAAAAAAAAAAAAGAAGCAGCAGCGCTGATCTCTCTTCCGGCTTAATAATACCAGTTACCGCGCGAAATAAACATGAATGAGCATCTGAAAGTGTGTTAAAAGATAGAGTACAACTTATTGAAATTCGTATCATGTCACATTGATTCACTCAATCAGCTTCAACCGTGGAAAGACGTCAGTTAAACAGCTTGTAATCAATGTCATGTATCGTCATATTTGCCTCAGATAACCCACATAAACTCATTAGTCAGATAGAAAAAAATAACTCCAGAGAGGAGCATTTTGCTAAATATATACATATTACATATGCATTATAATCTTAATGTTCTTCAATATTTAATGCATACTTGAATAAATCTGGCAAGTTTTTTTATGACAGCCACCATTAAAATGTTTATATTTCTTATAATCTTCTTATTATAAAAATAAATAAAAGTGTAATTTAAGTGTTTGCATAGCTACAAAACAGTTCATTATTACCTTCATATTAGGCTAATGAAGCATAATAGGCTACAACTAGACTCCCATAGTTTACAGCATTAAGAGATTTGATTCCCTTGAGAAAAATGGCCATTTATTGTAACTGATATATCCAAAATAATCAATATTGAATCGAATCGGAATCGAATCGAATTGCAAGCTTGTGAATCGAAATCGAATCGAATTGTGAAATACCCAGCCCTAATGACCGGAGTAGCAAGGCGAGGTGAGTGACTGCTGTCCCATTCCCAGAATAACCAAACTTTCGTCCTCCTGTCCTCAGAGTTTGTGTTTGTTGAGTCAAACTTGCCAAGTCCGAACTACCAAAGACGCAAGTTCGAACTTATAAAGTATTATATTTAGAATTTATAAACGCTTAATTTCTATAGTGTGAACAAAACATCCTGTCAAAAAGCATTATAAATGGCTCCTACCAGTGTTTGCTGTTAACTAAAACTATTAAAATTATTTTAACTTATTAAAATTGTTTTGTTAATTGAGATAAAGCTGAAATATATCAATCTTAGATGAAAATTAGAAATGTTGCCTGGCAACTAACGGAAATCAAATAAGAAGTACTAATGTTACTAAAATCTAGTACTGAAATAAAAATAAACTAAAGTTAAATAATTATTTTTTTTAAAGTAGTTTAAAGCTTTATTAATCTCCATGGTGCAATTAATTTAAACTGTCATAGTCCCTCACATATAACACGTAACGCATACATTCAAATCCTCAAAACTACACACAATACATAAAAAAAAAAACAAGTGAGAGAGAAAAAAAGAGGATAAAATAATAATAAAAATGACAATCAATTACATTTAGTACATAAACAAATTGCTTCAGGCACAAAAATAAATGTATTGTAATTTGTAGAACATCTGATTGTCCTTGTCGGCCCAGGGGCATCCACTTCGAGTCCGAGTGCAATGGGTGTGTGTGTGTGTGTGCTGTCTCCTATGACTTTGTGAGCCATCCTCAACATTTGCTGGTCATAATAAGATGTAAGACATCTTAAGGAACACCCATAATTTTAGAGCACATGTTAACAATACCCTGCAAACGATTTTTTGTGCTTTTGTGCGGTGATGAAAACCAACAAATAAAAGATACTTTCAACAAATGAATTGTAAAATAACCTGAGAACAACTCTCTGTAATTGCACAAACACTATTTGGTGTGAGTTTTTAATAATTGCATCAGAATTTTGGTTGAACTTTAACCTGTAATCAAAAACATTAATGACCACAGGTTGAAGTGCCGGTGTTATCCTACTAAAATGAATGATATCTCTTTAGTTTTTGACACATTTAGATCTAGTTTCATACTACTACACCAAGAAATAAAATGTACAAAACCGAACCATGTTCCTGATCTGAATGTGAAAGCAAAGAAAGCAACACAGTGTCATCTGCATATTTTACCTTATCTTATGAACTCTGACTATCATTTGTATACAATATAAACAAAATCGGGTCCTTGTGGTGTCTTAATATTTACTATATCCGATGAAATCCTATTAACCCTAACCCTCTGTTGCTTATTTGTTAAAAAAAAAGGTAAAAAAAAATGACAATATCAAAAAATTACAAAAACATAATCTACAGTATTATTTAAAATGAAATGTGTAAATATAAAAATAAAAGCCAATTCAAAATATAAATTAATACTATAAAAGTATATAAATAATCATAAAATTATTTATCATTTTGGTTCCCAACGTCATGAAAAACTTGGAAATATGACAATTTTAATTTCTAAGAAAGTTAAAATCTTTAGAAGTCATGGAAATTAAATAGAAACGTTATATGTAATGTAAATGTTATATCTAAATGTTGTTCAAATTATGTTTGACTTGTGAATAATATTTTTTGTTCATACCTTGTTCAAAGTAAAGTATTATTTGTTTGTAAAATTTTGAAGAAATCTAGGCTGTTGGACTGAAGATTTTATGTAGTAATCTTAGGATAAAAAATATTTTAATTTAAATATTATTTCTGTTTTTTTCTTTCTTATCATCTAGATGTTTTGTTGAAGTATAGAAATATAGGTTGTACTCTTACTCTGTTATTTACAGAAAATAAATCTCCATTGGTCTATGAGATTCTGGAAATTGTCTCATGTCTGTCCAATATTTGTGGTGTTGGCAAATATGTGGTGAATGTGCTGTTGAAAAGAAGGGCCAGACCAAAGGGGACAAAACATATCAGATTTCAAACCCTGAGGACTACACTGTAATTTTGGAAAGGCTCTGTCAGTCATATTATTTCATAACATACAAGCTGATCGCACAAATTCCCTTTGTTTTAAAGGACTTTAATATGCTTTCAAGATGTTTGCATCTTGCATTATTTTTGCCCTCGATTTACGTTTACATTTCTCTCTCTTTTTTAGATTGTTACGGTCACGCTGTGTCAGTCAAGGAATGGTTCGTCTTCCCAGGAAATCCACTTCAGGAGCCTACCAGAGTCACTCCAAAACCCCTCAACTATACAAGTACATAATTCAGTAGTTTCACATATGTTTCACATATACACTTGTTGTATAATGAATTACCTCACATTAAATGTACATATAATGAATTACCTTACACAGCCCGGTTTCACGGACAGGGCTTAGATTAAGCCAGTATTCAGCCTTTGTTTAAGTTGTTTTTATAAAAATGTGAAGAAAAAAAAATACCTTACAAAAAGACATTACTGATGTGTATCTCGAGACAAAGCAATGGAACTGACATATTTTAAAGGGTTAGTTCACCCCAAAATGAAAATTCTGTCAGTATTTACTCTCCCTCATGTTGTTCCAACCCCGTAAGACCTTCGTTCATCTTTGGAACACAAATGAAGATATTTAAGATATTAAGATCACTCCTGCATACAGTCCATAGGCTTCTTGAGGGAATGACTTGCTGGCCTCGAAAAGTCATTGAAGGACATCGTTAAAATAGTCCAAGTGACTACAGTGGCTCAATCTTAAGTTTATCAAACGACGAGAACACTTTTTGTGCGCAGAAAAACAACAAAAATAACGACTTTATTTCAACTATTCGTTTATTTCTCCCTCTGCCTTGAGTCAGGTTACTAGTTTAATAGCGTAAGCTTCTGTTATTGTGCATCACACGCATCACACACATGACCAGCGTCGGCCAATAGTGAGCCTACGTGTGACGTAGCTCTATGCCATCACACTACGTTAACTGACTACAGGCCCATAGAGAAGGAAGTGAATAGTTGAAATAAAGTCATTATTTTTGTTTGTGTTTGCACACAAAAAGTATTCTCGTCGTTTGATAAAGTTAAAATTGAGCCCCTGTAGTCACTTGGACTATTTTAACGATGTCTTAATTCGTGTTCCGAAGATGAACGAAGGTCTTACAGGGTTGGAACAACATGAGGGTGAGTAAATACTGACATAATTTTCATTTTTGGGTGAACTATCCCTTTAAGATTTGTCAGTTGCTTTTACTTAATGCCTGCATGTTCAGATCGACATCACGATAAAAAGATTTGCATGATTAAAAAAAATATCAGTCCTCCACAGCGGGATCCGTTGTGAGTGAGTGAGTGTGCAAGTGAGTGTGCATGTGTGTGTAAGTGAGTGAGTGTTAGTGAGTAAGTTTGTGTGAGTGAGTGAGTTTGTGTGAGTGAGTTTGTGCGAGCGAGTGAGCATTAGTGAGTGTGCGCGTGAGTGAGTGATCGTTAGTGAGTGAGTGAGTGTGCGCGCGAGTGAGTCAGTGAGTGGGTGTGAGTGTGCGGGTGAGTGAGCGAGTGAGTGAGTGAGTGAGTGAGTGAGTTTGTGAGTGTGCATGTGAGAGTGAATGAGAGTGCGAGACGGCACACGATGACTGGTCGGAAAGCAACGTGTAGTCTGACATGTTTCTTGTCCGCGACAAGATTTTAGGAGTCAAAATCGCATAATCTGACACAGTGACTATCCTAACAGACAAAAAAAATGGTGGAATCTGATCCAGGCATAAAACAACTCAAACGTGCATTTTAGTTTGGGACTAGCTTAATCCATGTCTGTGAAACTGAGGGATAGAGTACCTCAAAGATCCTTGGACTTCGTCTCGCATGCTAATCATCACACACTACCTCGTCTGATGCTGCTATGAAATCCTGTGATAATCTCAAGAGATCTATGTTCTGTTGTTAGTGCACATGATTGTCTTTGTTTGCCTGTTTGTTTTTTCTCGTATCAGTGATTAAACGACATCACAAAATGTTCTAAAAACAAAAAGATCATCTGGTTTGATGTTTGGTGTATTTCACACACTGCAAATTTCATCACTGCATTACATTTACCTGGGAATATTAGGGAATTTTGAAGCCTGCAGAAGACAGATACTGCGTCCGAATATGCCTACTTCCCTACTATTTCACAAGATGTAAACAACACTGGTCCAGAATCACTTCCTTTTTCAGTTTGTAACTGTTTTCTTTATTTCACATGTAAAGAAAACATCTTAAAGATGTTTGTTTAAGTTTTTGAATTTTATCCCAGCTTTTATGTAGTGTTAAAAAACTGAAACAGGAAGGGCTTCTGGACCAGTGTTGTTTACATCTTGTGAAATGGTCTATACAGTGGGTACGGAAATTATTCAGACCCCCTTAAATTGTTCACTCTTTGTTATATTGCAGCCATTTGCTAAAATCATTTGTTATTTTTTCCCTCATTATTGTACACACAGCACCCTACAGAACTGTTGACATTTTTGCACATTTTTTATTAAAAAAGAAAAACTGAAATATCACATGGTCCTAAGTATTCAGACCCTTTGCTGTGACACTCAATTATTTAACTCAGGTGCTGTCTATTTCTTCTGATCATTCTTGAGATGGTTCTACACCTTCATTTGAGTCCATTTGTGTTTGATTATACTGATTGGACTTGATTTGGAAAGCCACACACCTGTCTATATAAGACCTTACAGCTCACAGTGCATGTGAGAGCAAATGAGAATCATGAGGTCAAAGCAACTGCCTGAAGAGCTCAGAGACAGAATTGTGGCAAGGCACAGATCTGCCCAAGGTTACAAAAAAAAAACGAACTTAAATGATTTCAGCAAATGGATGCAAAATAACAAAGAATGAAAAATTTAAGGGGGTCTGAATACTTTCCGTACCCACTGTAGTATGCGAAAAACAATATGTGGGCTGAGTAGCATGTCCAAACAGGAGATAAGTACAAGGAAGACCTACTTCTTCCGGCGTAAGTGTGCTTACGATGGACACTTTGCTATCCCCGAAGGGCCACAGGAGTGAAGCTGCAAATTGATGCCGTAGGTCACATGACTTTGACAACATGGCAAATTTAGTACGTCCAAATTTAATTCATAATACACACATTGGGTCTCATTCATGAAACATTCGTAAATATACGAGTAAATATGAGAGTGATTCGCGCGTAAAGAGACCATCCCGAAAACTCTTTTCCTGATTCACAAATACTTCGTAAACGTCAGATGTGATAGTGAAATGCGTTTGTGTGTGTGTTAATGAATTCAAACCAGTCGTAAATGGGATGCGCGTGCACGTTCATTCTCAATTACCATAAATCCCGCCCATTATATCCAACTGACATCTATATATAGGCATATAATAACATGAATGCGAATGAAAAAGAAAGATTTCTCGGATGCAGAAATTGAAGTTTTATTATCAGAAGTTCATTCAAAACGCCACATTTTATTTTCAAGCATACATAGTGGCGTATAAGGTCCTAAAAAAAGGAAGCTTGGCAGCATACAGATGCAGTTAATGGAGTTTCATCTGTCAATCGAACAGTCCCAGAAGAGAAGAAAATGGTTCAACAGCAAAAAAACCCCCAAAAAACAATGAATTAATTCACTTTGGAAAAATCGTATTCAAACTGGAGAAGCACCGCCATCGATCACCAGATCTGCTATTAGGCTCTCATAATAAAAGTAAAAAGAAAAAAAAGTATGTAATTACTATATAAAATATTTTTTCAAAATGCTGTTTAAATATGTACCCGATTAAGGTGAATTAAAATGCAGCCTTATTAATGAGCAAAACGTTTGGATGCTAAGCGCACCATTTGCGCGTGGCTGGGAGCAGGAGTAGATTTCTTGTGTACCAACTAACATTTGGAAAATACGAACATTTTAATGAATCCGAAAATTTACGCCAGAACCCCTTTACACATGATTTACACAAAAATTCGTTCTGCTCGTGTTTCATGAATGAGACCCATTGAACATACTTTTTAAACGGTTGTGAACTGATTTTCAAACCAAATGTAGTACCTACTATATAGTATGCCATCTTGGATGCAGCAAAACGTTTCTATTTATGCTCAGGTAATATCCATTAGCTAGATTTGTGAGTGCAATCATTTTAAAAAAATCGTAGCCAAAATAAATGGAAACCCTTGTATTAGAACTGTTAATCATTAATTTACTGTCTACACGCCAACCCCCAGGAGTTAAATTTGTGGTCAATTTGTGATCAACAGAAGGGCCCCCTGATCTGATGGCCCTGTGGTTTAGGACAGACCCAGACGTGAAAACAATCCAAGCATCAACACTCCTGGATGTCTTTGACCTGTATGAGTTTACTGAAGAGCTGAAGCAGTTTGACAGCCCTATGATTGCTGTGATTTGTCTTGTAACCTACATTGCCATTCAGGTGTGTTGAACTTTTCATCGTTGATGCCATGGACCACTGAGGTTTTCACTTGAATGTAAACAAATGGCTTTGTTTGGGTTCATTCGCACCACGTACGCTCCCTGTTAGCCTTTATTTATTAATGATGTGAACTCATTGCATGTCAAAAGAGTTCACCGGTGGCGGTCGCTTCAACACTGTTTATTGTGTGTAGCCCTTATCAGACAACTGCAATACCCTTGCATTGTGTATAAATGTGTGTGTGTGCTGATGCTTGTTGTGTATACTTGAATAAAACCACTGTTTGCTCTTGGATCTAGACGAGACAGCTTTCTCTGGAAGACGTAGATGCATATCTAAGCCAAGCTGTTTGTGTCAGATTCAAGTCCTTCACAGAAATGCAACAGCTCAGGGTGAGTCATTTGAGCCACCTCTGCTTTTCTAAAAACATTGTTTTTACACTCACATGCTCACCCATTATAACTGGGCTTGGTTTGGAGTCTTTTACCAAACAACTGTGGTCATGCTTTTGAAACATAGTATTTGGTGCACATTTGGTGCGATTGCTTGGTCCAAACCTTTTCTGTGCTCCCGTAAGTGAGGCAGTCACAGTTCAGCAACTTTTCTGTGTCGAAATCCAGTCATTTTAATAGAAATCACAATAATCTGTCATTTTGTTGATGGCAAAAGGTTTAGATTCCTTAGATATGTATATATATATTCCTTAGATTTCGTTACAGGATTCGCCACTTCGACTGACAAAACGCTGCTTGTTTGAAAGGGTTTTTTTTATTGCCCAGTTTACACCTGGTATTCAGATGCACAAGTAGACGAGGGAGATCTCTTTTGTCCACTTTCAACCACTTCTATCCTGATCACTTCGAGGGCATGGTCTATGGGTGGATAAATGTATGGAATTTTTCGGATCTTTCGATCTACTGGAGAAAATAAGCCCAAGCGATTTTATATGGAGACAGAGACAATTTATATAGAGACATGCCACTTCCTCAATCCTCAATACAACTATGTTGGGAAAACCCGTAACGCCAAAGATGGCGGTTGAATGCACATGCCCCGCCCCTCCTGCTGGAAAGCCAACCGTCTGCTTGTAACAGTCAAGCCGGTAAACATGTCTGGTTCCTCTGACGTATGCGCGCAGTTGAGGTTTGCGACAGCGGAGACGAGAACCTTTGCGCATGCGTAGTAAACGTATAACCTGTGGGGAAAAGACCTTTTTAACCTTATTTTGGGGCAAAGTCATCAAACTTTTTCAGCGATTTTTTTTTATCATATTTTACTGCTGTTTCTATACAAGCAGTTTTTATGTCTCGGTGACCAGTGAAAGTGCGGCTCTGACTCTCTGCCCATTCATTTAGATAGGAGCCTGGTCTTGTTAGTCCGAAATGGCTGCCCGGAGGCGATCCCAAAAAACATTGAGACTCTTCGAAAAAATAAAGTCAGGTTCGAACAACATGAGGGTGAGTAAATGATGACAGAATATTATTTTTTTTTTTGGGTGAACTCTTCAATATTGGATTATTAAGCAATGTGATATTTCAAGTATGGATATTTCAGCTGCGGAAAATCATTGGCCGTAAATGGAATTTTCAGCTTTTGTTCTAAAGAAAATAAACCGCCTAAATATACACACAAAATGATCAAAATGCCCGTTTCTGCAAGTATTCTTGTAAACACAGTCGGTTAAAGGGTTAGTTCACCCAAAAATGAAAATTAAGTCATTAATTAGATACCCCCATGCTGTACCAACCCCGTAAGACGTTTGTTCGTCTTCGGAACACAAATGAAGATATTTTTGATTAAATTTGAGAGCTGGATCACTCCTACACAGGCTCGCTAAGGGATAGAAACTTGACGGCCCAGAAAGTCAATGAAGAAAATGTTTAAATATTCCATGTGACTACAGTGGCTCAAATATAAGTTTATCAAGTGACGAGAATACTTTTTGTGCGAAAAAACAAACAAAAATAACGACTTCCTTCCCGGGCCTGAGACGAGAGTTCAAGAGATTTTCACGACATACGCGCGAGAACTGAACTGAACTGAACTGAACTGAACTGAACTGAACTGAACTGAACTGAACTGAACTGAACGGAACGGAACGGAACGGAACGGAACTGAACCGAACTGAACTGAACTGAACTGAACTGAACTGAACTGAGATCGCAATTCTTGCGCTTGCGTCGTGGAAATCTCTTGAACTCTCGTCTGAGGCCTACAAGGAAGAAAAGGAATAGTCGAATAAAGTCGTAATTTTTGTTTGTTTTTCCGCACAAAAAGTATTCTCGTCGCTTGATCAACTTACCCTTTAAGTCTTAAGTGAACGTAAAGAGTTATCCCTTTTTGTAAAGAAATCAGATGTGTATCATTATATTGGATCCGTGCATTCGGTCTTAAAGTGACAGCAGCCTAAGTCATTAATACTAATCAAACAACAAAACGCAGCTTTAACAAATAATAATCTATGTTTAATTTGTACAGTGAACACTAGTTTCATTTTACATTAAGGCCTAACTTTTAAATCTCTACACCTGAATACTCTACTTCAATAGACCCTACTTTATTTGTAACTTTGTTATACTCTATTTATCAATGCTTGTAATAGTGTATTTGATCTCACCCCCAAAATGTTCACACATACAAGCTCATTTTAAATGAGAAATAAATTTTTCAAAAGCAGTTTCGGTTTTTGGTCAAGAGCATCCAGAATATTTGGTTTTGGCCCATTATTTTCCTAATTTCATGTGTTGCTGAACACATTAGTTATGACTTAAACATGCTAACAAACTCTGTTTCTCCATGTCAAAATGGCACAGCAACATGAAGTTGCAACAAATCATGGCTTTTCTTAAAGGACATATCAGATTCTTTTGCTATTTGGAAAAAAAAATGGGACTGGAGGGATAATTTCTGGTTGCTTTGCGACATTCCTCCCAAAAACTACTCTAATTGTGGTCTGAACCTGAGAGTGATGCTCTGGTGACGGGCTCCGCGTCGTCCCCGCCGGCGACCACAGGGCTATTTCAGCTCCCACCCTAATTTAAGCCTCCTATCCGTGCTATTTCAGACACGGCCAAGGGCGGCCTGTGGTTTCGCAGTGCTTGGATTGAGAGCCCTCCCCACAGCGCAGATAATGGATGATAGAGGGCCAAATTAGAGCCTCTTGGGAGATATCCAAGAAGCCACCTCCTAATTTATGGATCCTCCTGTGTCTACGGCTGTCCTTTTTGCGTCTGGTGTGAATCCCTCCAGTCTGTTTTATTCAGATGCTGATGCATATCTCACCCTTGACTCAAAAAAAAAAGCTGTTGACAATACAAATGAACTGTTGAGTTGTATTTATATTTTAAATACAATTTAAAAAATCTGTATTTTTACAGATCCTATGCTTAATTATGTTTGCTAATGTAAAGAATTTCAATCACACCTGTAGACAATATCTTTTATTGCCCGTAGCGGTTGTTTATTGTGAACTTGGCTGCAGTATTTATTTGTATATGGTCCCGCTTGTTTATGTTTTGGCTCAAGTGAAGTGATATGGCTCGGTTTATGTTGCCCACAATACGCTAGGTGATGAATGATAGCGTTGAGGGATTGTGTGTTTAGAAGGCGTGCACGGCAACAGGTGTGGGATTGCTGGCTGACCCAGAGATGCGTGTGTGTTCAAGGCACAGTGACGACAGCCTGCCGCTGGCCAGATGAAAGTGTGTAAAGCTCTTCTGCCATGGGGTGGTGGGAGCACCTGTTACATGCACCATTGTTGTCTCCCATTGGGAGTTACACCGTCACATCTGCCTGAAATGTGAAAAGGGCTGGGGGAGTTGGGGGGGGGGGGGGGGGGGGGTATTAGGAGGCAGAAGAGCCAGACAGATGGCAAGAGAGTCTCCAGGGGCATCCTGATTACCCCCGTCTAATCAGTTTCCCCCTGTGCTGCTTTGTCGTAGTAAGGGAATGTAAATGAAAGCTAAGGATGCCACTACATTGCATCTGTTATTGATGAGAATTATAAGGAATTTAGCAAAAGTTATTATTAATGATTCAGATTCAAACATTTGAGTACTTTTGAGGAGCAATATATATAGTTTGAAACAAATTAATACTTTTATTCAGCAAGGAAGCATTAAATTTTGAATTAAATAAATGCTACTGTTTTGAACTTTCTGTTCATCAAAGAATCCTGAAAAAGTGTATCTCAGCTTCCACAAAATGATTAAGCTGTGCAACTGTTTTCATTGTTTCATTGATGATATTGAGAAATGTTTCTTGAGCAGCAAATCAGCATATTAGAATGATTTCTGAAGGATCATGTGACACTGAAGACTGGAGTAATGATATTAAAATTAAAACGTTATTTTAAATTTTAATACTATTTCACAAAATGTATGACCATAGAAGAAAAAAAATATATAATTTTAACCCTCAATCAGGTCAATCGACTTTTACTTAATAAAAAAAAGGTTCCCTTCGTCTCAGTGGAATAAGATTGTGTGACTTTTCATACATTATCTATCTATACACACAAACACACACAAAAACTGGGCTTGATTCAGTTGCTCTGAAGGTATGTAAAAAAATGTTTACACTTCTGGTCTTCGGGGTCAATATGACCCCACATTGAAATGAATGGGAAATGTGAAAAAAACTAAATATACTGTATTTTCTTCATGTGTCAAAAAAATTTTTTTTTTAATCATTTCCGGTATAAATCTGAAAATTTTGACTCAGAAATGAAGGCCAAGTACTAGAGCATAAATGCAATGTATCATAAAAAAATTATATTTCATATGCAAGTTAATGGTGTAGTTGAGGAACTGTGTGGTATATGGATACGAAAGTACTTTATATCTCCAAAAACACAGCATTAAGGAATAGATGAGAAGTAAACAAAAAATGATATATTATTTGTATGATTAAAATTGTATATTTTTTGTACAATTACTCAATCAATTGTTGGGGTTGTTTTGACCCCGAAGCCCAGAAGTGTAAACAGGAAACGAAGACTATTTGAAGGTTAAAAATGAGATTCTTACCAACCCCAAAATCTTAAATGGTAGTGCTATATATATATATATATATATATATATAATTTGTTGTCATTTATTACAATAGTAATTGTCATTGATTCATACTGACATTAATTTAAGACTTTTTGATCAGTTTTGATCAGTTTTTGATCTGGTTAAAGAACCAGTTAAGAAACACTTGAGGCAAATCGTTTTCATGGCGTCCGGTTCCACACACAACAAACACAGTAGTAGTTCAACTCGTGAACAAATGACTCTTTAAGAGTCACATCTTTTAAAGAAGTCAGAAAGATGCGGTTCAGAAACAATTCCTTGTGATTAAAAAAACAACTAATTGTGCCTGAGGTGATCTGAATTTGGTGAATTGGTGGATGAATGCAGTCATTAATAGAACCAAACCTCAAATATTTTTCTCTCTTTAAAAAAAAACAACAAAAAAAACAGAGCCAGTTCTTGACTCTCAACCCTTTAACCAAACAAGCCTGGTTTTACAGCCCACCATGTTTATTTAGTAAATCTAAAATCGAAAGTTCATTCAAATATCACACAAGATTCAGACAAGCCTTGTCTTGTCATGCATTCATGTTTACAGTCGTAACATTGAGCAGATGTGCATTAAGGTATGGCACAGGTGCGGAGCCTGACACAAGGCTGTAGTTTGCCATTAGTGTTGATCTGCGTGTCCTCAGGGGGTCCAGCGGTCCTTCGGGCATCTGGAGCAGCTCTCATTGTTCACTGCTGAAATGCTTGCAGAGCAGCTGCTGTTCTGGTTTGTTGTCCCTCTCTATACCTTTACAGCAGCAGGGTGGCATCAGCTTTGTCCCGGGGCCTATTGACTTCCACGCTGAGCAATTAGTGGCTTTAAAGGTGCTAAGACTTTTACGTGTCTTTTTAAGCGGTTTAATCAAAGCCGCTCTACTTCTTCATCCCACTCTCTAAACCTTATGCATAACAGTCAATGTGATTAAATGCTCTCATTTCACTGAAGAGGCATGGTTTCAAAGAGGAAGTCAGGCCAGAGCAAACAGCGTAATATTTCAAACGACGGCCTGGCTCTCAATCTGTGCGCCTGGAAGGCTTGGGCAGTGGGTTGCTGCTGTCACTTCGGCTTTATCTCCAGGCTCCCCTTTGTTTGCTTTAGTCTAAGCTGTGTTTGAGAGCGGAGCAGGTGGCAAGCCAATTTCACATTTTCATGTCACGAAAGCTAATCAGCCCCTCTCTTATCTCCTGTGGGTGGGGGACCAGGTGACCAGCGGACAGTCTGGTGGGGTTGGGGGGGGGGGGGGTCCCTTTGTAAACATCCCCTTATCCACAAGGCCACTTCAGGTGAGCTCTACGGGTCACACCCTGCCTCCCTCCGGTTGAAACGCACAATAGGTAATAACAGCATGATGAATTGGAAACCAAGTTACTGTAAAAGTGCTGTCATTTAAAGGAACAGTTCAACTAAAAATAATCTTTCACTTGCACTGTTTCCAACTTGTATGACTTTTTTTTCGTCGTACAAGAAGAAGTTTAGCATAATGTTCCAGGTGCTCTTTTCCACACCACCTCAGGGATGGCTAGGAATGCACACTTTTGGGAGGAAATCGAATTGCAATAAAAAAAAAAAAAACTTTTACTGTGTTTGCTGTGCTTGTTTGTAGGGCTGTGCAGTTAGGCTAAAATGTGAGTAGATATCAGTATGACACCGTGTCCTAACTACACGCGATAAAAGGTATCTTTTCCATGTTAATCAGAGTTTTGTTCTAACCAGACGCGATGGCGACACGCGAAGTTTCTAATTTAGAAACGGTTCCTATTTCTGCGATGTCGCGGCTGACAGAATGAAGAAATTACACTGGTTATGAGTACGCATTATTTATTTTTAGTTAAAAATAGGTCACTGTGTCACAAGATAACGAATAATTTACCTCAGATTTTGAAAGCATATAATATAGCGTTCAAAATGAATTCTATGCAAACATACAACTGTACTTCATAACAAAATTAGTCAATGAGTTTATTTTGTTAATGTTTTGATTTTTAATAATGTTATTTCTTGATTTGATTAATGCGAGCAGTGCGCTTTCACGCTGCTCTGAATGATTGTGATTTTTGATCACAATGTGTGGCGTCTCACAGTCGCGTCGCGTCTAGTGTGGACAGACACACCTGCAGTCGCTGGAATTTTATCGCATCGCGTGTAGTTAGGACACGGTGTGACTATTAAATAATAGTAATAATAAAGTATAAAACAGTAAAATTCCAATACTAAAATTTCTGTCTGCCTTAAAAACGTTAAACCATCAAACATTTATTTTGACAGAAAACCTCGAGGAGCTTTTTAAGCTTCTCTTCTGTTAATAATCGTTTCTCATTGCAAGTATAGGAAGATGGTTGGCGCATGTTGCTTTCCCAAATGCATATAAGTGTCCCATACTCAAAGCAGAGATGGAGTTTGTATGGAGGAGCATTTTCTGCAAAAAGCAGTGGATCGTTAGCTGTTTATGATCCGGGCTTCACTCTGAAACACGCAGCACATGCATTTAATTTAATTGTAGCATTTGCTTTTTAAGTCTCATTGCTGTTCCAGTTTTATTTTTATTAATCCAGCAATAGTGTAGCGATGCTTGAAGCACAGCTCACTCAGAAGTCACTAAACTTCCACACTTAGGCCATGTTTACATGACAACGATAAACTAAAAACGGAAAAGTTTTTTCTTTGTACAGATGACAATGTTGTCAAAACGATCTCCGTTCACAATCCGCGAAAGTGACTAATAATAACACTATTATGCATGACAGACAAGTAGTTGGCGATGTCACTTAGTAATGAAAGACTACACGCCTGCACATTATTTTACTAAGGTGCACTCGAGCCTATAGATAGGTATGTGGACATATCAATAAATAGCGGCCGCCATTGTGGTCCAAATCTCTGTGCCGGATTTTCCCGAATCACTCTCCTAAAATGGTCTCCTAAAATGTGCTGTTTTCATTGACTCGCTGTGGGAATCCTTGATTATTTTTAGCCAATCACATCATTAGGGTTTTCGACTGCACATTTGTTTTAAATTTTTTCTATTCAGGCTGCATTTTCCTCCTGAAAGGCGATTTCAAACAATACGGAATAATTCAACTGTCAAGAAATTATGTTTACCCACTTTGGACAAAATTTCATGGCCATTTAAACTCCCCCACTTTTTTCATGACTACCGCCACTGAACGTTACCTGTAGAAGAGCTTTCAAAATGCAGCGCGTCGTGTAGGCTACACTCAACATTTGTGTGGTCTCCTCCACTTTCTTTCCTCCACCAGCGTTAGTATTGTTAGCTCTATATTCTTACACAACTGGAAATAGCATGAATCAACCAAAATCCATCTTTTAAATTAAGGATATATAATTTTCCTTGGATCGTTGTTTTCCATTCAATTATTTGTATTTTCAACAACTGCTCGTCAGAAAAATACCATAAAAGATAGGCCAAATCATTCTTGTTGTGTGTTAAAATCAAGTTTTGACACATTAGATCCAAGTAACTATTTGAAACCCATCTCCACAGAAAATTTAATTAAGATTTCTTGAATATTGAGAAAGTTATGAGCATTTTTGTGAAAAAGCAACTTGTTTTCATTCACACTAAATTCTATTGTTTTCACCTTAGAAATGAGACAATACTAGGCGCTGATTACTGAACTATAAAATGTTGTAACTTTCTTCATACTTGACATATTTACCTTTTTTTTTTTTTTGTAAAGGGGGTACCCAGTACTTTCCACATATTCTATCCATTTGTCTATTTGTTGAGTTTCAATTTTTTGTCCACATACCCACTATAGACAAATTTCATAATCTTTCATTTTGTTGTGCGAATTTCATTCTAAGAATATTAATCTTGATAATACTGTATTATTACTATTTCTTCTGGGTAAATTTCAAATTTACAAAGTCAGAAACATTCACTGTAATCACATTTTTATAATGTTCTCCTCTGATAGAGTGAATTCATTCATTCATTCATTCATTCATATAAAGTGCCTTTTTACTTCATTTAAGAAAATGTCAAAACCTTTGAACACAAAAGGCACAAGAGTCTGTTCTTTAATTTTTCATTATGACAAAATGTTATATTATGTTGGTTTTTGTAATTCTTATAACCACTTGCAAAGATGTCTGTATGCCCCCCCCCCCTTATTTCTTACTTTTAATATCTGTATCCTTTCATTTGCAACACAAAACCTTCTGTTTTTAGTTGAAAATGGTGTTGTGTAAATAGTCAACACCATAGACTGTAAAAAAGATGGACGACGTGTCTCCACTTCCTTCCACTGTAGAATAATGAAGCCAAAGTGTCCCAGGAATTGCCGTTGTCATCTTGCTCCGATTACGTCATTCGGATCCCGAGTCTGTGCATTAGTACTCCGCCAAAACTCAAGCACAGCAAAAATTAGGCACCCATTTTTATAGCATCAAATGAGTAACTAAAATTAGCATTGATACCTAAATTGACAGAAACCATCAAAATGATTTATGATAGGATTTTTTTGTTTGGCTTACGTCCCATGGGATTACATGAAGAGGCGGGGTTTATGAGCAATACTGCAGCCAGCCACCATGGGGCGATCAAAATGTTTTGTCACTTTTTAGGACGTGTTCGGCACACGGCAACACGGCACATGTGCTTGACCAACTTCTACGTCATCAAAATCTATGTTGGGAAATATTTTGCCCTCACCAAAACTCTCGTGCAGATTGATTGTATTGAAATGACTGGGTTTTGTTTGTGTAATTTCGCAGAGCAACAGTAAATGTGACCACTCCTTTGTGAACTATTGTGTTTTTGTACTTTATTTCTTACACCATCCTATAATCCCTCCCCCATGCAGACCTCTGTTGTAGACCCTAGGGCCGTCCAGCTCGGGTCTCTCTTTGTGCGCGGTCTGACCTACCTCATCGCAGCCAACAGTGCATGTGGTTTCCCTTTCCCAATGGGTGAACTCATGCCGTGGAAGACCTTTGACGGCCTGCTCTTCCATTCGAAATATCTGCAAGCCCACTCAGGCAGTCCAAAAGAAGAGCTTCTCGAAGGCAATGTAAGTACAGGAAAATGCCATTGGCCCTGTTTACACTTGGTATTAACATCCGGTCAGTTGAGACCGATACTTGCATTTCAATCTCACCACAAACATGACATTTCAAAGCCACACAGAATCCTTGTTTTAGCAAAATGGTTGATTGACAGGTGAGTGGGCGGCCTTTTACTGTTGTCTTGGATACATCTGAACGGATTGGTATTTGTGCTACAAATGCAGTGTGGTCGCATCTTCAAATGTGGTTTGATTGATCAAATCGCAAAATGTTTTTAGCCCTGACAACTTATATCAAATGTAAACAGGACCTAGCATAATCCTTTTTTTTTTAATGTTGTCATTCTGGAATATGCAGCTCTACCGAGGCCTATTAACATGCTAAAAATCATTTCTTTGTATGGCCCACACATATTTTGTTTAACTTTTGTTTACATGTCTTTGGTTTACTGCAAAACAGTTACAGAATCTCTTTTGTTTTTGATTTCTGCAATGTTTTTTCCGGAGCCAAGGGACCAAAACGTCCAAATAATTGTTTGACCCACACATGTAAACATGGGTTTGTAATTATAAATGCAGTCAGGAAATAACTCAGACTGTGCATGCTTACCTCTTGTCTTCATGGAGGTCTCTGGACAAACAGAGTGTGCATCTCGATCAATCGTGGACCAGTATATCATGTACACAAATTCAATCTCACTAAACATTGGGATACTGATGGTGACATGACAAGAGGTTCATTGTCTACGTCACTACTGATATTTATGAACAACAGCGGAATGGATACATCAGCTGTAATTTAATTCTAAATATATTATGTTAATTACCTGTCTAGCAATGTATCTTTATGCTAAAAGGTAATTACGGTAAATTAAATTCAACTTAGATTTCTTTTATTTTGAGTTGTATTGAGTTGGATCGCATGATTTGTTTCGTGCTTCAGAACTTCCAGGAACACAGTGAGCATTGTTGGTCCCAGGTTTTCACAGCGCATTTTGGGACTTTTTAGGTAGCAAACGTTTGGAAACATTTTGCAATTGAGACAGCCCTTAAAATGTCTGACTCCGTGATTACTACTGAACTAAGGAGTTGATTGAGACGCACCCTTTGACAGTACTTTAACACCTTGAATGTCTTGTATGTCTTAAAAAAACATCAAACATGACATTTGCAAACACATATTGAGGGACTTTTCTCAGAACTAACTTTTCTTTTTTTTAAACGAATGCCATTAGGTATGAGACTCATACATTGTTCAAAATATGAGTGTTCAAATATCTATGGATTTGATCAATTATAGATACACATGTTGGATTGAGATTTTTTAGTTTATTGTGTATGCATCATGCATTAAAGGTGCAGTAAGCGATTTCTGATAAAGTTAAAATCAGCACATAATCAAACAATTTTGTGAATATTTGCTAAACGTCTGTTTTGTGTGTGCTGAAATATATATATATTTGTACATAGTCCTGGCTGATTAAATAAAAGAAGAAAAACAAAGTGGATCAGACTGATCCATGGAGCACCAAAACACTCTTATAGCCAATCAGCAATAAGGGGCGTGTCCACTCATGATAGGGAGGAGAAATAGTGAGCAAGAGGGTGATTAGAAGAAAGACTAAATATAGATATTACTAAAGAGGAAAGGTTCAGAGGAAGTTTGGGAAAAGAAGGGTTATGATGAGCCAAGAGCTTTAGGACCTGAAAACAGTTGTTTCTGCTCGATATGCGAGTAGCATTGTTTAGTTTTTTGCTTTTTCCAAGAAAGATATGCTGTTTTTGTTGAATCATCCATACTTGCTCATGCGGTCGACATACATACATGGTTACCAGTGCTTCTTAGCATGTTTGTTATGTAGGGATGGGTGTGTTTGTTGATATTTGAAATCAACTCCCAAAAGTGTTTCTCAGAAATTGCGTACTGCACCTTTAAATATCTTATTTGTGTATTGTCTTTTAGCCCTCCTGGATATCTTTGTTCCTGTCCGTCAGAGAGCTGGTGCTGGGAGCCTGCAGGAGACGTGGCACTCCCGTTCTAAGCCAACCACGCAGACTACAGTACAGAGATGGTGCGGATCACTCCACAATTCCTTATCCATCACATTACCTGATAGAAATTAATTTTCACACTAACTTTCTGGGAAAACATAGAATTGTACAAAATGGATTTAAATGGATTCTCAGAATTAAAATTTCCTGATAATTTACTCACCCTCACGTCATCCAAGATGTTCATGTCTTTCTATCTTCAGTCGAAAAGAAATTAAAGGGTTAGTTCACCCAAAAATGAAAATTCTGTCAGTATTTACTCACCCTCATGTTGTTCCAACCCCGTAAGACCTTCGTTCATCTTCGCAACACAAATTAAGATATTTAAGATATTAAGATCACTCCTGCATACTAGTCCATAGGCTTCTTGAGGGAATGACTTGCTGTCCTCGAAAAGTCATTAAAGACATCGTTAAAATAGTCCAAGTGACTACAGGGGCTCAATCTTAAGTTTATCAAACGACGAGAACACTTTTGTGCGCAGAAAAACAACAAAAATAACGACTTTATTTCAACTATTCGTTTATTTCTCCCTCTGCCTCGAGTCAGGTTACTAGTTTAATAGCGTAAGCTTCTGTTATTGTAACGTAGCTCTACGCAATCACACTACGTTAACTGACTACAGGCCCATGGAGAAGGAAGTGAATAGTTGAAATGAAGTCGTTATTTTTGTTGTTTTTGCGCACAAAAAGTATTCTCGTCGTTTGATAAAGTTAAAATTGAGCCACTGTAGTCACTTGGACTATTTTAACGATGTCTTTAATGACTTTTCGATGCCAGCAAGAGTCATTCCCTCAAGAAGCCTATGGACTAGTATGCAGGAGCGATCTTAATATCTTAAATATCTTAATTTGTGTTCCAAAGATGAACGAAGGTCTTACGGGGTTGGAACAACATGAGGGTGAGTAAATACTGGCAGAATTTTCATTTTTGGGTGAACTAACCCTTTAAGGTTTTTGAGGAAAACATTCCAGGATTTTTCTCCATATAGTGGACTTCAAGGGA